CATTTATTTTATTATTTTTTTTTTTCCAGTTGGAAGATGGAACTATGGATGAATTAAAGGAATAGTTCACCCAAAAACGGAGATTCTGTCATTAATGACTCACCCTCATGTCCTTTCACACCTGTAATACCTTCTTTCATCTTTCGAAAACAAATAAAGATATTTTTGATGAAATCCAAGAGCTTTCTGTTCCTTAGGCAGCAACACAACTTACACATTCAGAGCCCAGAACGGTAGGAAAGACATCGTTAAAGTACTCTATGTGACTCCAGTGGTTTAACCTCAATTTTATTAAGCGACACAAGTGCTTTGTTTGCACAAAACTAAAAAAAACATAATTTACAACATTATTTATGAAAATATTGATCTGCATTGTGCATTCATGATTATATGGAAAAGAGAAGTATCTTGTGTTTTGTGCTCACAAGTTAATGTCTTAAACTGCCGATCTTGTTACTATGCTAATTAATAGTGTTTTCACTATATTTTGGATATAGATATCCATTGCAGAATTGATGTCATACGGCTCGTTCACTGACTCGCTGGCCGTCTCAGTGATCCGCCGTAAAACAGTGATTCTGTCCTAATTCCCTTGCATATTAATGGTGGAGTTCCCTTTAAAATCTTAAATGATTCCCTTTGAGCTAAATTATTGACCTGTTTCCCTTACAGAGCATCACAACGCATTTGTGTTGTGTTTCTCGCGATAGAAGACTCACACGTCAACACAAAGCACATGAGTGAGTGTTCACTAGAGTACCAAGACACATGTTTTTGGATAATATTTTCAGAAATAAAGTGGTAAATTATGTTTTGTTTTGTTTTTTGAGCAAATAACTTGGATTACTTGATGATGTCTTTCCTCCTGTTATGGGCCTTGAATGTGTAAGTAAGAGAGTGTAGAGGGACAGAAAGCTCTTGGATTTCATCAAAAAATAACTTAATTTATGTTCTGAAGATAAGCAAAGGTCTTACAGGTGTGGAACAACATGAAGGTAAGTAATTAACAACAGCATTTTCATTTCTGGGTGAACTATCCTTTTTAAAACTCCGCCTATGGATCCAACAGGATGTCATATAATTCACTTGCATCTAGCCAAAATCTGTGATAGGCTATATTTGGCAGTACTATTAACATAGGTGAAGAAAAATATTATATTATCTGATAATAAAATTACCTACTTTATTAATTATTTTAAACGAGTTCAAACAGATGCCATTAATACAGGTAATGAGTGGAGGACAGAGGAGCCTCTTAAAGAAGAAGTTACAGGTCTGTGAGGGCCAGAAATCTTGCTTGTTTGTAGGTGACCAAATACTTATTTTACCGAGGAATTTACCAATTAATTCTTTAAAAATCCTACAATGTGATTTTCTGGGTTTTTTTTCTCATTTTGTCTCTCATAGTTGAGGTATACCTATGATGAAAATTACAGGCCTCTCTCATCTTTTTAAGTGGGAGAACTTGCACAATTGGTGGCTGACTAAATACTTTTTTGCCCCACTGTATGTTCTGAAGATAAGCAAAGGTCTTACAGGTGTGGAACAACATGAAGGTAAGTAATTAACAACAGCATTTTCATTTCTGGGTGAACTATCCTTTTTAAAACTCCGCCTATGGATCCAACAGGATGTCATATAATTCACTTGCATCTAGCCAAAATCTGTGATAGGCTATATTTGGCAGTACTATTAACATAGGTGAAGAAAAATATTATATTATCTGATAATAAAATTACCTACTTTATTAATTATTTTAAGTATTTCAAATACAAAGTATTTAATTACAAATTACATTTGATTGTTTTTTTTTTGTCCAGCAAAATACAAATTACAAAATACTCTAAAGTAGTTAAATATGTATTTTAAATACATTTAATTAAAATACTGCCCATCTCTGTAAGTAGGTGGAGACAAGTGACTTTATGAGTGAGTCATTTGAATCATTCACACAGCTGATTCCTTCAAAATAGAAAATAAACAAGTGGCTGTCTTCATGAATGAGTCATTTAAATAATTTTCTTAACCAAGAAATGTTTACAAAAGTTAATTATTTCAGAACTGAAACAACAGTCTAGTGTTGCTCAGAGAAGTTTAAAGAATAGTTCACCCAAAAATGAAAATTTACACTTGCTCACCAATGGATCCTTTGCAGTGAATGGGTGCCATCAGAATTCACAAGCCACATGACTCCAGTCCATCAGTTAACGTTCTCTAAAGTGAAACGCTGGATGTTTATAAGAAACAAATCCATCAGTAAGGCGTTTTAACTTTAAACCATCTCTTTCATCTATTTTGGACTGTTTTTGCTTGTAAATGGTGCTTGATCTGTGCGTGTTTCTCTCCTGATTCAGACAAGGTACATTTTTTGAAGTGAAAAACGTCTTTATACAGCTTTTCATTTCACAAGACATTAATTAAAGAAGTCGTGTCGATTACTTGATTATTGTGATATTTTTACCAGCCGTTTAAACTCATTTTGACGGCACCCATTCACTGCAGAGGATCCATTGATGAGCAAGTGATGCAATGCTAAATTTCTCCAAATATGTCATCTACATCTTGGATGAACTGAGGATGAGTAAAGTTTCAGCAAATTCTAATTTTTGGGTGAACTATTCCTTTAATTCATTCAGCAAAATGCAAATTACTCAATATTAACTGTTCTGATATTGCTTAATTATGGTATAATTCTTAATTAAACATTATGTTTAGTGTGTGCGTATAAAATTCTGCAACATCGACAGCAAAGGGAGTACAATGGTGCGATTCAATGGTAAATTCTAATTGGATGTAACATAGTGATTGATCTGTGCTCATACAAACCACATCAAGTGGAAAGGACAGTGTGAATAATAAATTGATGTTGATACGGTCCTGGTCCTGGACAACAAAATGCCACTGGTTTGTGAGTCGGTGGTTCTTGAATGGCATTGATCTCCCTGCGGATCCTTTTGTTCTCTCAGGTAATAAAGCTGCACATTGATTTATTGGCAGTAGCCAGCTACCTTTTGCCTTCCTCCTGTTCACTGCAGTATCTGGCCCTTTAGAAACCTACAGTGAAGTCCAAGATAAAGTTAGTGTCAAGTTAGCAATGCATCTTCATCGTGAATCACGAGAACATTACAATGTTTACAATGAAGAGATCAAAGAGGCAACACGGACACTATTGATCGCACATTGCCTTAGAGTGCTTAGTGACTAAAGGTCTAACCTACTAAGTTGATGTATACTCTTTCTTTAATCTCTGTCTGTGCTGGTGAGTTTTCCATCTTCATCAGAGGAGCTGTACAGTAAATACCATGCAATACTTAGTCGTTTCTTTTCCACAGCTCTTTCTGTACAATTACAGCAGAATGATAAATTGTTTGTCAGGCTGCGAGAAAGACCGATTGCCTATGTAATGTTTTGCCATTTCTTATTGTCATATTTGTCATTACAACAACTTGTCAACTCATTTCAGCACAACTGACAAGCTCTCATTTTACAGGCTCTCATTGCAACGCACAGGTGATTTGTGTATGCATTCTGGCAGTAACGGCTCCCTTGGTCATTTGTGTTCGCAGAGTAATTCCTACAGCGTGGGGTGTTTCACATGTGAAAATGTTGCAGTAGCTGCAATGCGGATATGCTCGAAGACATAAAAGTAGTGATCTTCCCTCTAAGAAGCTTCTTTTCTCAGGAGGCACAAATGTAGAGAATTTTTGGATTTTAAAAGTGTCTCTAATATCTTATGAATGTGCAATGTCTCTTCAAACAAGTACAGTTTCCTTTGACGTACAATCCTTTGACCTTTACATTATGCAATCTGTGTAAACCGCAGGTAGATTTACTACAGATGTAAAACAGCCTTGTTCAGAATATGCCTTGAATGAGAAGAAACCAGCCTGGAAAAGCATCATCATTTTACTTGCAATTCACCGTTTAAATGTTAACATCACCATTTAAATGTTAACATCTCTCAGAAGAAAATGCTTTCTTTTTGATCTGGACTCTCCCAGTCATTGCAGGCCAAACTCTTTCCTTTTTTTCCTAGAAAGGTTTAAAAATATTGTTTGCAATTTATATTCTGTGGGATTTTATTATTATGTATTGCATCTTGAAACACTTTATTATATTGCAAAGAAAATATATGTAAACGTTGAAAGAGGATGTAGCTAAGAGCTAGGTAAGTATATATATATATTCAATATTATATTCACAGCCCCCTTTACATTGTTAAACTAACACCTGTGCTTTCATTAATGACCCTAACTGGGTTTAAAAAAATATATATACCGAAGGGGCTGAAGTACATTAAATGGTATACCATGTATTTTGTTCAACTTTTTGATAAAAATGGCTTATAAGCCTAGAGTAACTGTGCCAGTGGGGTTCAGAATGGACCTTAATACAGGGGACACATGTAACATCAGCATAGAAACATGAGTAAATTATAATACTCCAATGTACTGATAATGTACAAGACTTTGCTATGCTTATAGTAACAAAAAAACAACAACAACAACAACACACTCTCTCTTCCAATGACGTGATTAAAACAAATAAACATTAACCTAACAAGCATATAATACAATTGTTTCATTATTATTTTATTTGATCAAAATCGTATATCATGTTCAATGTATTTAATTCCTCATTAAGTAAACTCAGTTGCAAATATAAAATGTTTCATTTTCCAATAAACTAAACTGTCACATAAAAAATATGCTGATAAATAATGCAACCATTACTCCATTACAACCATGATGTTTTAACATAAAAAATTATAAAAACATAACAATTTATCTACAAAATTGACTGACATCACTGTATTCTTTCCAAGGAAAGCACAGTCACTGAAGCAAAAGAAAAAAAAACATAAATATTACAAACAAACACTCTTTTTAAATCTCTTCTTTGAACTCAGTGTACTATGCAATAAAAATGAGTCTGTTTTGAGCAAGATGATCTACTAGTGAAAGCAAAGTCACAAAAATCAGTGTCCGAAAGTTTCTCGATCACTGAAAGTCATTGCAGCTTTGACTTTAACAGTCTATTCTGCATTTTTACAGTTGTTCTATTGCTGTCTGCTATGATGCTTTAACCGTTAGCTACAGAGTTTAGTGGTCTCATAATCCAGAGAATTGGGGAGACGGGCATTAAAGGACTGGAGCGAGGCATGAATGCGCACTACCTCATTAGCTGTCAGTTTGAGACGGTGCCGTAATAAGCAGGAGAACAGGTCCAGAGGTTGCTGGCCTGGTGGAGAGAGTCGGTTGACCCGGTCTCGGATCTCCAGCAGCTGGAGCAAGGCCGAGTCCTGCGAGCCCTGCGTGTATGGATAGTCCAGCTGCAGGATCAAGTCCCGGATTGCTTCCGGGTCGAAATGCATACTGTAACCGAACACTTGAATGCTGTTAATCTTCATATACCCCAGATTTCTAGTAGGGTCAGCCATTTCCAACGGCTCCAGGTAAACGCTGTCATTGGCCCCAGTGCCCAGAGTTTTAATGCGGCTCCTCAGGTAAATATGGATGGTCTCAAAGAAGGTCTTCCACTTGTTGCCCAAAGTCAAGGTCCAGTTAAAGCATTCTAGTGGAAGGTCCAGCTTAGCAGACTTCCAGTCTGGAAAATTGTTCTCATTCACAGGAATTACCCAGCTTTCTGAGTGGCTCCCTCCGAAGGGATTGATGAAGAGTGTGAGCGCAGGTTCCAGAGTGCTGTTTTTAGTAAGGCATATTTGAAGGGAGATTCCTAAGAGCATATGGACCAGGTTGGATTTATATTTGTTACTCTTTAGCGTAAGCAGCATCCTCTTCCTCCATGAAGGATCAAACCAGCTATTCAAACGCATGTCATTGCTGATGAAGATAGCATGGACCTCTAAGCGTCGATCGGCTCTCTGTAGGAGGTAGCGTAGCTCCAGATCTTGAAGATCAGTCTCAAAGCCCAGGTAGTTTTCAGTGGAATCTCCCACCATTGGTCGACAGGTCCCTTGACTTAACATGTAGCCGATGTTGCAACTTCCGCAGCGAGTGTGGTTGTCGCTAGCACAAGCCGTGCAGGCGGCACCATCACCCACAGAGCATGGTGTGGGTACCTGGCAGTAACTATGGTCATATGCACAAATGCAGGTGTGTAGCTCTTCTGAGAAGGATCCTAGCTGGTTGTTCTCTGAGCAGTATAATAAAGACTGGAAGTAATTCAGCCAGTATGACTGTGGCCTATATTGTAGAAAAGATTAGATAAATATTAATATCAGTTAGACTGCCTAAACAATGACTGCTGAGTAGGGATGGGCGATATCTTATCATTTGCGATATACCGGTAAAAATTCTCCCCACAATAAGAATTAGACTTCACGCGATAATAGCGACATATTTCTTAAATGTACTACAGCAGCACATGTGCGATACAGATTTGCTTGTGTATGAGCCTGTTTATAAACCTGTTGTCCAACAAAGATATAATTTATTGACATGCTTTTTCTCCAAATTAACTTAATAACATTGTAGAGTGTTTTGAAATACTTCTTTTTGTGACCAGACGTGGTTTCATATTACAGAATGATAGAATTATATACAGTGATAAAGGCCATGTCGATTAACTTTGCATTATAAATATACTTTCCTTATAAAAATACCCAAGATTGAAGAACACAGATAAAACATATTTTGTGAAATCGTATGTTTATTTAAAGTTTCATCAGTTAAAATGTCTCTATCTCCGTTGTGCGTTTTATTCAGCGATAACTGGATACCTTCCTGGAGCGTCGTCAGTAGTATCACTTCTGCTACGGATATGAGGAGTTTCTATGCAAGAGCGCCCTCCGGCTTCCAGTATGAATTAAACAGTCTTTACATTACCTGTGTACTCATTAATGCTCACAACACCCTATTTTGAGTACAAATAGGAAAGATAATACTTTTCTCTAAAGAAACAGGATTCCCTGAATTATCATTATTGATATCGTTATCGCAATAAATACCAGAAATATTGTGATATATTTTTAAGCCCATATCGCCCATCCCTACTGCTGAGATTAGATTGTCATGTATTCAAAACCGGTACAGCAACAGATGGCAAGATTAAAACTGGCACAAACATAAATCTGTTCCACAAAACGTCAACTAAAAAAGTACAAAAAGTACAGGCATATATTGTTCCTTTCTATAAATGTTTAAAATATGTCAAAACTGTCTCTTAGCATCTCTTTCTAACAGCAATTGCTTCATGTTTTATTTTAGCAAGCCGATAAATGTTCAGATACCAAAAGAGATGTGAAAGTGTAAACTTGAAAAAACAAATAAATAAATAAAATTGCTCTAAACTGCTGGTTCCCAACTGGTGGGTTGTGGCCCGAAAATGGGTTGCAGGTCTGTTTTGATAAATCATAAAATTAGGGCAGTGAAAAAATAATATGCTGATTTCTCTGATTAATATGGACTATGTAACATGTTAAAAATATAATTCATGCAATTTAATGCAGCATCCATTTTTTTCCCCACTTCCAGTGCATTATGTGCTCACATTTACTCTAACAACAAATGTATGTTTCATTTATTTTTTACCTCCTTTATGTTGATTCTCCATTAATTGGGATTAGGGATGCACAATATTATCGGACTGATATCGGAATCGGCCGATAATGGCTTTAAATGTAAATATCGGCATCGGCCCGGTATGAAAAATGATGCCGATAAGTCTTGCCGATAAGAGGGAATACCTTAACTCACACGTGCTCTGGGTGTGCTAGTGATTACTGTAGATCACGTCAGCAGTGTGGCTCATTCTTGAAGCAAATTTTTGTCTGAATGATGATTAGATTGACTGTTTTGGATTGCTGCATTTAATCTGTGAAAACACGTACAGAATGATGCGTTCGGTGTGTGATAGAGTAAACAGTGGGCAAATTCCAAACGGCTTTTTTGTGCCCTCGAAGGACACTTTGGGAAGTGGACGCCATTTGTAGGGACGTTCCAAACGAAAGTGAACAACTGAATCCCTTCACGAAGGGCCCAGCGAAAGGATGCAGCGATTGATATATAGTTTATTTAGGCTATAGTTATTTTCAAAGCTTCGATGTACTGTCAAAAAACCTTCATTGTTGTTTATTTAATTCTAACAAATAAGTTCTTATTAAAAACTAACTAAAATTAAAAATATTTTGCTTACAATTTCTGCACAGGAGAGACTTTGTTTCTAAATAGGGATGTTCATTTTAAACGTTTATTCGGTTAACCGACCATAAGAATTTTGACCGATTAATACAATCAGTTAAACGGTTTAAAAAGTCATTTAATTATTATTTTTTAAAGTAATTTATCAAAATATAAAAAAAAATTCTGCCCAAAAAACTCGCTTTAAATATATAAAATATAAAAACTCTTTAAATATAAAAAACGTACTTACAGTCTTTGAGTCAGAACAGCCGGCATTGTAGTCTACTCTACCAGGATCAGGAACCAGTCCTCCATAAAATGTGCTGCACACATCTGAATATTTGGGTTGAAGTGTTCTGGAACAGTGTTGTAAATACAACTTAACCACTGATTTCTAGTCGTGTCCATTTTTGGAAGGCCAAACAAAGTAGTTTCGCTTTCACAATGAAACAGTGTCACACACGGCGGCCTACAGTGAGCAGAGGCTGGGGGCTAGCGTGAGGAACGGCCGGAGGGTTAGAGTGAGCAGAGGCGGGTGGGCTTGAGAACAGCACGGCCGGCGATTTCGCCGAAGGATCCTCCGGAATGACATGTGACGACTCCGAGCTGGACTCCGCTTCGTCCATGGTGAAAGCCGATCCGGCGATCGACAGCGCAAAGTTGTAGTATTTCCTCAGCAACCAGCACGGATCAGCTCCAGGCATGATGAAGCAAATATCATCCTCTTTTGGAAGACCAAACAAAGTAGTTTCGCTTTCACAACGAAGCACACAGCATCTTTACGACATGGCGGCGGCGGAAACAACAAAACTACAGTGAGAATAAAAGTTACGCCTTCTTTCTTTGCGTGAACATTTGGGCGGCGTTATGCAAATCTTCCCACATTGTGATGTAGACATGTGGGGGTGTGTTAGAACTAGCCGTTTTAGGTAGGCGTGGTTGACTCTTAACTTTTATAAAGAATATCTCTTTGGATTTGAGACTTTAGTCTTTGCAACTTTACAGATCTTCTTTATGCACCAAGAGCTTGTAACACTCCAAAGAGAAAGGAAAAATTGAAATAGCATCATATGACCCCTTTAATACATATTTTTTTATTACATTTTTTTTACTACATCGTTTTTTTTCCCCATATGTTTGACTGACTGTATTTTATTATGATAATGAACAGGCTGCATTGTCAAGGTAGCAATGCTTAACTGTGTGCTCGCATGCGGCGCCGGTGCAATCACTTGAATTTTTTCCTTAACAGTGGAAGCAACTACTCCTTTTAGTCCTAAAGATAATCGGAATTGTGTATATTCACAATAAAAACAAATCTTTGTGCTTTTGTAAAATAAGCCTAAAGAAAAATAGAATGCCGCTTTCTGCCATCTGTTTCCTTTCGCGCAGCACAAAAATTTACCGAAACTCTGCATACTAGGCTACTTTTTGCTCAGTTTTTCTTTCATTTTCTTAATTTATTATTTAAGTAAAAATATGTTTCTCGCATAGGCCTATTTATTCGTTTTATATATATATATATATATATACAGTATATAGCCAAGCTTTATTATGATATTCTCCACTCGCAGAAGCGCTGCAGGTGTGTGATGTGATATGATGACCATATGAATCCTCATGGTCTGTTGTTTGCTGCTTTTTGCGCATGTAAATTAATCCCCAGGAAACAAAAGTTAGTATTTTTAACGGGTCACAGACACTTATCCTTTCTAATTTAATTCAATTCTAATTTAAAATAATCTTGTCGGTTAAAGGTTAACAAGCGTCGGTTGTCGGTTAGCCTATTTCCAAACAAAAGGAAATATATCGGTATCGGCCACAATGAGTTGAAAAATATCGGCATATCGGATATCGGCAAAAATCCAATACCGTCCTTACTTGTATCACACTTGACGTGTTCATTGTTTACTCATAACCGGAGTCAATAATCATGCAGATTTACGTTACAAACTTATAGAATTGTACAGTAAGAAAGTTATTTCCTTTAATGAGGAAATTAACGTTCTTAGAATTGACAAGACGGTTGACCCTGAGTGGTCAGCTAAATATCTACAGTGAAGATAGAATATTAATAATTAATCATAATTAGTTATGGTTAATTATTCATATTTCCCCATGAGCTAAATTCGCTACAATAATAACTAAAAATAATTATACAATACAATTCCAAAATAGGCTATAAATGAATGGTTATTGAGATGTTTCTTTAGAAGGGTACATGAATAATAAAATGTAAAAGTGTTCATCTGAAATATGATTGAATTCACTCTCCTACCTGAATCTTCAAACTCTTTGTAGGTAACAGCCCATGATTCAGAGATTCGCAAAAGGCTTTCCTCCATGGCCTGAATATCCATGTAGGGGCAGTTGCATTCTGGGAACTTAGGGTCACATTTGCACCAGCAGTCATTGTCTCGACAGACAAAAGATCCCTCTCCATTGCAGGCAATGTAACTAAGAGCAGCTTGGACGAAAGTGTCTCTGAGATAATCTGGCAAAATGACCTGCAAGCCTTCAGTTACAGAGAAAAGAAAAGAAAGATTGCTTTAAGAATACTGGGTTACCTGAATAAAGTGGTGTGATAATGAACCTTTTGTGTTTCACATAAAAAAAAATGCCCATCACATTTTCAAAACTTGACATACTAGATTCGAACAACATTTTATACCTTGCAAATGGACTTTGTTCTCGGGACTCTGAACCAGCACAGAACTGACCGAATCAAGGTTGTCATAGTTACTGCAGCCGAGAGGGCCAGTCCTCGTTTCAGTTACCTGGGAAACAAAATTCAGACCACAAAATGATTAGTTTACATACGGTTACTGTACCATAGTATTTTACATGGAAAACAGCGTGTAACAAACTCTTTTCCCATGTTTTCCTTGTTAAAAGGGATAATAAGCAGCCTGGCTGTGAACAGATGCGTTATAAGAACTTCCTGTGCTTGGCGTGAGTCACTTGTCCCAGACATGGTGCTAATGCGCATGCAGTGGTGGTCCTTTCACAGATAATCATTTACTATTCTTCTCATCTTATTGAAAGAGCCGAGCAGGCTGTTGCACAATGTTTTTTCCTCTGCTCCGTTATGAAATGTATTAATTGATTAGCCTTCCTTTCTTTCTTTCTTTCACACCCACAAAGAAAACAGAAGTCCATTTCTCTCTACAATGCAGAATGTTGTCTAACTTTAGCAGAGTACTTAATGATGGTCAGACTCTGTGTAGCCATATTGACTCAGGCATCTCAATTGACCTTTACTGCAAGCTAGCCCCACTATTATCAGACTTTGCAATCAGAGATCACACTTGATTTTTTCCTTCTCTTTTCTAGTCATCCTTCTCTCCTCATGACACGGAGAAGCACACATAATTGATTCACACTTTTCTCTCTTATGGTGCCAGTGAACCTTCATCAATTCAGTGATCTCTTTCGATTCGGCCTGTCAGACAATATCTTTTCCAGGCTGACAGTTAGATAAGGTAAGACAAGGTTGTCTTCTGCCACTCCATCACAAACCCACTGAAGAGGCCAGCATTGGTAACAGGGAACTCTGCAGCATGAAGATTTGCACTATATGGGTGTTTTGCTTTTTTTTTTTTTTTTTTTCAATCTTGACCTTCAATGTTGCAGGTTTTTTTTTTTTTGGTTATCCTGGATAAAATCCTTTTATTCAGCAGGGACACATTAAATTGGTCAATTTTATTTGAAATAAATGCTGTTCTTTTGAGCTTTCTATTCATCAAAGAATCCTGAAAAGAGAATGCACCATGTTTTCCACAAAAAATATTAAATAGCGCAGCTGTTTTAAACTGTGATAATAATAAGAGTTGTTTCTTTAGCACCAGATCTGTATATTAGAATGATTTCTGAAGGATCATGTGATACTGAAGACTGGAGTAATGGCTGCTGAAAATTCACCTTTGCCATCAAAGGAATACATTGCATTTTAAAATATACTAAACTAGAAAACAGTTATTCAAAATTGTACTAATATTTCACAGTATTATGTTTTTTAATTGTATTTTTGGATCAAATAAATGCAGCCTTGGTGAGCATAATCATTTTACCAACCCAAAAGTTTTGAACAGTAGTTTTTTTTTCTCAAGATGCAGTTTTAAGTAAGCAAATCAATAATTATATAGAAAGAAATATATAGACAACTAGTTTTCCATTCTGACCCATCCCTAGTTACCACAGAACATATGGCCTGAATCCCTGGCTTGAGCACCCAGCTAACACTAAGCAGCAATTTATTTTTTTTCTAACGACCATACCTGATGCAATCAGATGATACATCTATATGCTTTATTATTTAATGCACCATATGATGTGCCATATGGTAAAGGGCTACTGATTGATGAACAAGTGGAGCATGATATTAGATTTCCTTTACAGACAACAACTGTTATTCAAAGCAAATACTTTGCATGTCACAAAATACCTTGTAATTGCAAATTATAGGCCACCTGGACTTGCGTGATCCTCTGATGTTCGGCCTAATGTGAAACATCAACAGCCTGCTGTTGATTCTCACTCTGCATAGTGAGCAGCTATTATGGATCAGTCAAATATCTCAATTATAGCCTGAAAACAATATTCCGTCAGGAGATATTAGCCACCAAGTTTGGAAGCTTTTCTCCAATTTCACAGCTGGACAAATACCTCAGCTTCAGCATTTCTTTTTGAAAGCACCATTAGACAAGTCTACACATCCAGATTTTTCATGGATGGTCTCACACAGCCAGAGTTTTGACCTGCAGCAAAATTTGTGTCCTCAGTGCAGTTTACTTTGGTTATGAACAACTGAATGACCAATATGCTGTGTTCAAACAAACAAAAACAGACCAGAAAAAAAATTATCAAAAAAGTGGTGCGGGGGTCTCAAAGAACTGGACAGAATAGGGCATGTCAGCTGAGACTAGCATGGAGGGTTTTGCTTGAAAAATGTTACTTATAACAGAACACAACAGTCAATTCTCTGCAAAAGAGTTGGCGTTGTCTCCCTGCGGTTACAATTCTGACGCGATGTGTGTTTCCGAAGGTATCGTGGCTGTAAATTCAATTCTGGCTTGGCTTAGAGCTGATCTGGTATGAAGAAATTGTCAAATCATGAGCAAAATGATCCCGCCGATTGTAGAATGGCTTGGTTTTCACGCATTAGACAAACAACCAGACCAAAACCACAAAGGTGGGATGAAGCCTGATTTTGTAAAGAGCTTCACTCCAGTGTTTTCCTTTCACAGTCCCAGCACACCGCCACACTAATAAGATTTTCCTATGAAAGGAAATAGCAAAATTTCCCCTCCACAGCGCCCAGTGGGGGGAGCTAGAAACCTCATTCTGTACTCCAGCTCTTTTTAATCTGGAATTCATATGGAGGAACGTTTACCTCAGTCTGTCCCGTGAAATGTAGACATGGGTCAACGGCCTGTGGAAATGATGCATGTGTCAGAGGCCCCTGCTGCTCCTGCTATTCATTCTCTTGCGCTGTTGGAGCTGCACCGTCCTGCCTGGCAGGCTGCTTCCGTCACTCACAGGCTCTTTTGCTTTTCTCACCAGCAATAGACAAACACAGCCTTGACACCTGAGATCTGCCCTCCCAACTGTAATAAAACCATCTAAGCACTGCAGCAGTTGTGTGCTGAGGGAAAGCGCTGTTGTATATAATGGGATGGGGAGGGATCATCAAAGTGTGGACTGGAATATATGTGTCAAACTGTGTGCTGCTGTGACAAAGTAAATATCTGTTTGGGGGATTTGTACAGCTTTGTGTGACCAATTTTAATGGCTGTCAGCAAAAGTGTAACAGCTACTTCAAATTGTGCATTGTGACAAATATGAAGCATAAAGCGTTTTGGCTATTAAAATTAGTTTGAGTTGATCTGTGAGGGTCAAAGAGAAATATTAAGAAAGTAAGGAATGGCATATGGCAAACATGAAATTAAGACATTCTAAAGAAAAATATATTAAAAATGGGATGTTTTCTTCTGTGTCACCATACATTAGGATGTCAATGTGCAAAACAGCAAGATTGTGGAGATACACTATGTTTTTGTTGCTGTTTGATTTTTGATACTTCCCCAAATTAAAGGTTTAGTTCACACCAAAATGAAAATTCTGTCATTAATTACTTACCCTCATGTTGTTCCAAGCCCGTAAGACCTTCGTTCATCTTCATAACACGAATTAAGATATTTTTGATTAAATGTGAGAGCTCTCCGACCCTGCATAGACAGCAACGCAACTGTAATGTTCCCAGGTCCAGAAACGTAATAAGGACATCGGTAAAACAGTCCCTGTGACATCAGTGGCTCAACTTCAGTTTTGCAAAGCTACGAGAATACTTTTTGAGAGCAAAGAAAACAAACAAAAAAATGTATTTAACAATTCTTCTCCCCCGAGTTACGTCTTCCGCCATTTTGGAGAGTACCCAAGAGCGTAATTGACGTAATCAGCGTTGTTTACGTTCGGAGGAGAAAGCGCGTGCATGAACATAATCAGCGTTGTTTACGCTTAGGGGAAAGTGTGCGTATGTGTTGTGATACTCTCCAAAATGGCAGAAGACGTAACTTGGGGGAGAAGAATTGTTGAATAAATTATATTATTTTTGTTTTCTTTGCGCTCAAAAAGTTTTATCGTAGCTTCGCAAAACTGAAGTTGAGCCACTGATGTCACATGGACTGTTTTACCGATGTCCTTACTACGTTTCTGGACCTGGGAACATTACAGTTGCATTGCTGTCTATGCAGGGTCTGAGAGCTCTCACGTTTCATAAAAAATATCTTAATTTGTGTTCCGAAAATAAACGAAGGTCTTACAGGTTTGGAACGACATGAGGGTGAGTAATTAATGACATAATTTTCATTTTTGGGTGAACTATCCCTTTAAGCTTTTATATATATATATATATATATATATATATATATATATATAAACAACCAAATTTTTTATTACTCAGCATAATAGGCCATTCATAAATCTCATTCTTGAACAACATGTACAACCAGAGCTAGTTTTATTTTATTTTCTCACAATGCAGAACCTTTCATATATATCGGTGAATGGATATCGTCTCCAGGTTACGCATGTAACCATGGTTCCCCGAAGGGAACGAGACGCTGTGTCGAAACTCTACGGGAACACCTCCAGCGTGACCATGCTCTGAATCACATGTGTAATCAGTCCAATGGATGGGCGAGACGTCACGGGCGGGGTGACGTAGCGACCAGAAAGCATAAAAGCATGTGCAGTGAAACCGGCATCAGCTTCTAGGAGTTGAAGCAAGCGCTGGCAGGGATGCAGGAAGTATGGCCCTGAGACGCAGCGTCTCGTCCCCTTTGGGGAACCATGGTTACATGCGTAACAAGCTAATATATACTGTTATAACAACGATAGAGACACTGTTGTTTACATTTTTTGTTAAGTTTGACAAAAATATTAAATTTAGTAAATAGTAAATTTTCAGAAATGTTCTGCTTTATTGTTGTGCTTGAATGTTAAAATGGCCCTCCTATGAGGTGTCAATCACAGCAATGGCCCCTAGCCAATTTGAGTTTGAGACCCCTGCTCTAGGGGGTAGTGGGTCAACCCTGCGGATAAACAGGCCTGCAGGAACTCCAAAACTGTACCAAACGGGCAGTTAGCTGGGTCGAGCTGGTGGTCTCCACACCAAGAAGTACAGTTTCCTCATAGAGGGAGCTCTGGATGGAGGATGGTCTCAACAACCTCGGTTGAGAGACCGGAAGCTATGATTTGTGCCTCCTCAGAGGCCACACCCACAGCTTCCCCAGCTCCGGGCGGGGGCATGCCCTCCGTCTGTGAGAGGAGATCTCTCCTGACAGGGAATCTCCCATGGAGCGCCGTCGAGGAGAGGAATCAGGTCCGAGAACCATACTCGGCCCAGCCAGAACGGGGCTACTGGCAGTCCACTGACCTCGTTCCAGCGCACTCTCTCCAGAACTCCCGGGAGCAGAACAGTCGCTGGAAAGGTGTACAGACGAAGCCTCAGCCACGTCTGTACCATGCCATCCAAGCCCCAGTGGAGCTGGATGAGTCAGAGATAGAACTAGAGGGGACCGTGCAATATCATCTGAGTCGCAAACAAGTCCACCTGAGCCTGGCCAAAGACTCTCCAAGTCTGCTTCACCCCTCGGGGTGAGGCATCTATTCCCCGGGCCTCGGCCCCTGCCTTGACAGGATGTCTGCCCCCCCCATATATAACAGACCACTGCTGTGTTGTCGGTGGGCACCAACACATAGCGATCTCTTAGGCCTGGGAGGAAGTGTTTCAAAGCTAGAAACACGGCCAGCATCTCCAGTCAACTTATGC